GGCATATTGGATCTAATAACAGAGGTAATTATATTGAACTTGTTTATTTATTAAATACGTCAGATAAATAATCTATTAAAAATACATTGAAAAAAGAATTAACTGATTGCCCCTGGAAGTCGGCTTCTTATAGAAACACAGCTTCCTTATCATCAAATATCACGGCACGCCACTGCTATTTCTATATCTTAGAACTTGGCTAAGACACGAGTAAGACTACTTATGCGAAGGAAACTGTATTTTCGTTGCTCGCAGCGCAAAATATGCCAAAACAATGAGTTTGGTACTAATCTTTTTTATTTTCTTCCACGTGTCCTGAGATATCACCTTACCGGATTTGGTTCTATTTGGACTGCTAAATATCTATTTAGAAACGTTGAATAGGGTAACTCGATTATGTTCACTCTGTATTTTAAATCTTAAATTTTCTTTACGGATTTTACTTCTTAATTAACTATTTGGAAATTTTGTAACGTACGTAGAACGAATAATTATGATTGGTAGTTAATGATTTGTTATTCTAAGTGATTAAATATTTTCTGAATCAAATTAAGGTAAATTAAACTTTTCAGACGAAGTAGCTTAAAGGGAAAAGAATTCTTCACGTATGCATTTCAGAACATGAAAGTGAGTAAAACTGACTATTTCGACAGACTGTCTTCAGTTTTAAACATTTAAACAAATAGCTTATTATATGTCGAAATTCAGAAAAATATATTGTGATAATCTATGTACACGTCATAGTTATATAAGAATGCATTTCTTATGCACGAACAAAGCGAAAATCCCATAAGCATTCTAATTATAAATCCATTAACTTATCTAAACATATTATAGACATTAATATCTGGAATTTTAATCTTATAACATAAAACGATAATTGATGAATTCATTAACGAAGTCTTAGTTTTGAGATTTTGATGTCGTCATTTAATTTGATGTTTCATTAGAATATTAGGTTAATGTTACCTATAATGGTAGCAAGATATGGCGGCGCTCCAACTGTTTGTGGTGAAGACGGACTCCTCCCGTAGGGGAGCCGCCGGCAGGCCGCCTTGTGCCAAACGTCTCTAGTTATTGATTCACGGTAGTTCTTGAACAAAATAAATAAAAAAAAAGGAATCGTCTACTAAAGATGTAGCTAATCTAATGGAAACGAAACGAACGTAACCGAAACGCCGCCATATTTCTCTATCATAGGTAACATTAACCGAATATTATTATTGAAAATGATGTGGATTTTGTATTCAGCATTCCTGTTTATAAATTATTGCGATAAAAAATTCCACTCATTACTGGCGCTTTTAATAACCGAGAATTTCATTAGTGCTCAATTAAAGTTGTTTACTTTCTCCATCGACCATACGGAAGTAATTATGAAATGCAATATAATTTTTATCGCCCGATATAATTTTATACCTGACTACTACTACCAGCGACCAAGTAGATATAAAACTTGGACCCAGCTAATTAGTTCGCGAATTACACTGGACTGGCTGCATAAAGTTTTCAGGTTTTCTCTACATGTAACATCTGACTAGAGCCACTTCTCAATAGAAACTACTCGCAAAAGTCAACCCTATTGGTAGATTGCGCAAGTGCTGCTTTTTCCCGTTAGACCTATCTACCTAAATAAACAAATACAAGAGAGCGCCATGTATTCGAATCTAAGAGAAGGTTGCTTGGTTTGCTTTTTCAAACCCGTCTATATTGTATCTTTGTTTTATGGTTTGCAAACGCTTAATTTTTGCAATTGTTCTGATAGAAAGTCCTTTATTTTTCGAATACTGAGGCCAATCCATACTCGAATTGTCGAAGTAGTGCTTTGGACACACGTCATGCTTTTACTTTGGCAAACAATTCCTGGTATTGATAATACTGCACCATGTCGTTTCTCTCAGAATATTGTCAAAACCAATCTCACTACATATAAATTAGCATTTATAATTTTGTCATCGTCGTATGCTTCTGCATTCAGTAACGTTAAGAACAATAAACTTGATCTAAATCTTAAATTAAGAAATACATTTTGGAAATCAGAACAAAATGTTAAGAATATTAGAAATTTATTTTACTTTGTCTGGCTACTTAACATTTTGGTAACTGTTCGATATTTTTTGCTAATAGTTAAGGTACTTTACCCTATTTTGCAAAAATTGAAAATGTACGATGGGGAAGACGTTTTCTGTTCCGTTTGGATGGGAATTTGGTCCAATTACCTGTTAGGAGGAATTGCTTGCGGTCTTTCAGCTGCAGGATTGTTTGTATTCGCGGCAAAAAAAGAGTATCAGCAACTTTCTGACGAATTATCACAAACACAACGAAGCGATTTAAATTTGCAAAACAAATTAAAAGAATTCCTGATGCGTCACGAAGAAATATGGAACTTTGTTTCGCAGTTGAACAATAAACAAAATTTTGCATTTGTTGGGGTTTATGTAGGTATGATTTTTGAAGCCAGTTTTTGCTATTACATGCATTTATTCATTGAAATGGCAGAATCTATCAGATTTGTTGTGCTTGGAGCTGCGGTAATTCTTACCTATCTTGGTATTGTATATGGTTTTGTTGTGAGCTCTTTCGCCTTTACGGTAATAAATTCATCGGTGTTTTATATTATATATTTAAAAATTATTTAGAGATTTTCGTCTGTTTTTGTAGATGCAGAATGAATTTCAAGATATTCGTGGCTGTATTCAAAATAATATGAATTTCGAAGATAAAGTGAAGGTAACCGATTAAATTAACTAATTTATTCTGAAATTTTTCTATGATTCACATCTATGCAATCCTCTGCACGCTTTTGTCTTAAATGGATTAGAGAAACAATTGCTATTTTACCACGAGACAAATGTACAGAAAACAATCACAAGAAATTTGATTACTACTAGAAAAAATTCTGTAATTGCTAATATACAATGAATTTATATATTTAGGTTTTGGATTTTATGAAAAGATTTGGTAGAGTTTCACTGTGTCTTACAATGGGTGGATTTTTTTGTATCACCAAGAAATTTCCTATTAAGGTAAATCTAGATAAATATTATATTTCGATAAATTTAATAAATTGAAAATAATATTTACGTATTCTGCAGATGGCCAGCAATTTGCATTCGGTATATTCAGCTCTCTTAAAACTGAGACAAGTGTCGCTCCAGAAAAATAATTGTAGTGCATTTCCAAACGTTAACGTTACGGAAGTACCGTACACTAATATTTAGGATATTTAGAATTTCAAGATATTCGTGGCTGTATTCAAAATAATCAAGAGGAGATCGGGAGCAGAGTAGTGCCAAGTGTCATTTCTACTATTTCGAGAGAAACAGTAGAAATGACACTTGACACGTCTGAAAGATTGATCAAATTGCCAAATCACACACGGTAGAGCCGAACTTGTGTTTGTAAATTCTTTATTATTGCTTTAAGATTCCTGAATGAGGTACAGTACATGCATTATTTATGAACGATTATGGCACACATACTTTGTATTGAAGTCTTTTCAGAAACTGTATTAGCATTTTTTGACTTAGCACTCACTATCTTAACCGAAAAGAATTGATGCCTTTCACATATATCATATATCAAATAGCCATGATCATTCACTTCGTTTAATTAACAGAGTCCAGAGCGAATAAATTATAGTGTAGACAAAAAGAAATGGAAGAATACAACAAGACTGGATACTGCCAAAATTTGTAAATTTTCATAATTTTAATTCGTTCTTAAAAATCGTTCGAAAACCGAAACAAATTTTTCCATAAGAATCAATATAAAATGGATTAATCCGTTTCTGGTCCCAAAACAAAGCCAATTTTATCTTTTTAGTTGTATATCATACATAAAATCCTTACAAATGCAATACAGTGTTATATATATATATATATATATATATATATCTGACCGAGTAGTTAGCCCGGCGTTGCCCAGAAAAAACTAAGAACATTAAGATTAGTTAATTTCGTACTTCTAACCCCCTATTGTATTATATTATAGAATTTGGTTTATATAACTAGGAAGGTTATCTTACATAGCCGATCTTACCCTTTTTCATCGGTTGCAAGAATTAGATCATCCCTCTTTCGAGGCTAATTACAGAAGTTTTAGATGGGTCTAAAAACACGTTCGATTTCCCGCAAAAATGCAAAATTTACACACACAAAATTCTTGTTTAAGTAGATCTTCGAAAATGTGGATTTGCTTAAAACACGAAAAATCAATCGGTTTCAATTATTTTCATAAAAGGTAACTCATTATTTTGAAATTTTTTATTAAGCGAAAAATAAAATTTACTGAAGAATGAATAATTTATTTCCAGCATAATTCACAAACTATTATTTTAATTATAAATCTTGAGATTAAAGATATTGCATATCATACAAGAGTAATTTTGGAATACAAAGTATGTAAAAGTTCTTTGTATCATCAACGTATGATGATAAGTTTGTTATATCGCGGCAAATAATAATTTCAGTTTCTCTAACAAGATTCTAAAGGAATACATCTACCACTCGGACCTCTGACATAATCCCTTATACATCCACAGGAAGGTAGTCTACATTCAGGAGTGCAAGCCACATTTGGAGTGCTGCAGCTTCCATCGCAGGCTCCGCATCCTTTAAGTTCCTCGTTTGGTCCACATTCTGCGTAATATAACATTACAACGATTAAAAAATAATCATATTCTTTTAAATTTTGTTCGTAATATGAAGAACGCATTTGCAAATAATTAATAGAAAGGCTAGACCACAGGAAGAAAACCTTTTTTAATCAGAAAGTCACATCTCATTTCAAAATGATCTTGGCCGCTTGTAGGAAGGTTTGAATAAGTGTATACAGTATATACTGCGTATACTACGCTGCGTGTTTATTCCATATTTAAAAAATATATTATATTTAGATGAATTTAAAAAAACAAGAAAAAATATACTGTTGTAACCGAAAATTACTCTTATTCCATTTTACATTTTATCAATTCTTAAGTTTTTCATCATATAATTTATGAAACATAAATCACTTTAGAAAATAATTCTAATTAGTGTATAAATATGTAGTGTTATTTTTAATATTTTATAAAAACTTTAGCAAAATTTATTTTTAACAATTAAATTGTAAAAAAGTAAAATGCAAGCATACAAAATAAAATTATGGAGACATAAAAACTATTTTCAGTACTGTACTGTACGTTATTCGTTAATATAAAAATTTCAAAACTAATTGGAAAATTTATTTATTAGGTGTAATTTAATTATAATAATAAAAATGATATCAAACGAATTATAATTTAGTTTTGAAGTTTTTAACATTTTATTAACAAAACAATGTTTAGTTTTAAAAAGAATTTTCGCTGAATTTCTAAAAGCAAATTGAAAAAGAAAGTGAAACTTACTCCACCATCGTCGTGCAGCAACATTAATTATCAGCAATGATAAAATAGTCAAACACATTAATTTCGATGCAATCATTTTATAAAAATAGCTTTAATATCGTTTTTATTAATTAAATTTTCTTCAAACACATATAATAAATGTGTTTTATTCGCTTATCGAATCAGTTTTATAACCTCTAAAATAAATTATCAGGAATTGACTGTTACAAAATCTTTGGTTTCTGTAGCGAATTCTGGAAAATTCGGAGATTTCTATTTAAAATATCTGTAATTTAAATCCTGTTTTGTTTAAAAATTGGTAACTGAAATTCTTTGAAATAGTTCACATTTCAACAAAAGTATTCATTAAATAGTAATAAATGCATGTATTTAAAGTATAATTTTTATGATTATAACATAAATAACCAGGTAAATTTACATGAATTAGACTTGAATATCAATAACAATTATGGAATAAATTGTCGAAATAATTTTCTACTATCGTCGTTTTATAACTGCTTTTATGACTGAAAGAAATTTCTTGTTAGGAATTATATAAAATGTATTTTATTTATCATTGGTGCGATATTATATAGTTTATCTTAATTTAAATTCTAATACTTTGAGTGTATAAGAGAGGAGCTAGAACAGATACTAAGAATAGCATAAACTGAAGTTCCTTAAGTCATAGCACTGAGCATATAGAAAACTAGCTGTTACCCGCGACTTTGTCCGCGGAGATTTTGCAAGCAAACCCCATTTACATTCAATATTTCAATAACCATAGTAATTATCATATATCACCTACCGCTGAAGAGAATTGCCGAGAATCAAACGAACTATCTTCAATTTGATCAATTTTCTGGAACGTTTACAATCGTTCTATAATCGAACCAATATGCAATAACAAATTCGAATTTAAGACGGTTCAACATTTTTTTTAAATCGAAATAGATAAAAATATTTATAACAATGTCTGAAATGTTATCAATTTAATACATCTAAGTACTCAATGAAGATTAAACGTAAAAACAAAAAATCGCATCTAAAATAGTACAGTAGAAGCCATTCTTCCGGTTAAGC